AAACATGTATTTTTCTTCTGTCTTCAGAAAGATATCTGTTATCAACGGTAGTTACATTTTCTTCGACTGATAATCACTCATACTGCGAAAAGATCTCCAAAGAAACGTATGACATGGGATGTGGAGCATCAACTACGCCTTCGCTGCCAGCTATTCCTGTTCCGATTTCGACAAATGTTCATCGTGAAACGTGTGAGAGATCAATTCAGACAAGTGCCATAAATCTTCGTGAAAGTCCTCAAGAACCATCGTTCATCCCCATAAAGAAAGTCGAATTGTCGCTTGATCAACAACGAACACTAAGCGAAGACAGTCCAAAGAATCCGCGCAAAGATCTTCTCAGTAATAAACAATACCGTGAATATATTGATGGACAATGCAATAATGTTCAATCCATTTCTGAGCTTGTAAAAAAAATTGAAACTTATTCGTCCAATGATTTCATTCGAGCTTGGCTAACCTTCTATTGGATCGCGAAAAATATCAAATATGTCAACGGTCATGTTGACAATGCAGCTGATGTTGTATTTCGTACTAAGAGGGGAGTTTGCCGTGGATTCACATACTTATTCAGTGAATGCTGTCGATTGTTGAATATCGAATGTGTTGACGTTCCTGGCTATGTTAAAGAAAATTGGTTTCGAATTGGTGATGCTCTACAACAAGCAACGCATGTTTGGAATGCAGTCAAACTCGGTGGACATTGGTATTTACTCGATGCAACATGGGGCGCTGGTAGTTCTAGTGCGAATAAATTAGAAGAATTCTATTTTCTTACATCACCTGATCAACTGATCTACACTCATTTGCCCACGGAAGATATGTGGCAATTATTGTCACCTACGGTAGCTAAACAACAGTTTTTAGATTTACCAATTGTTAAGTCAGTTTATTATCGGTTGAATTTGAAACTAATTTCTCCTCAACAGTGCGTGGTTGAAACAAATCAACCATTGTTTGAAGTGACTATTAAGACGCCTTCACCGGATGTTACATTAACTACCACTATGAAGATCGGTAATGATGAATATCCAAACTGTCATAAATTTTGTCAATATGATCATCGAGATCAACTAACTCGATGTTATTTTNTACCAATTGTTAAGTCAGTTTATTATCGGTTGAATTTGAAACTAATTTCTCCTCAACAGTGCGTGGTTGAAACAAATCAACCATTGTTTGAAGTGACTATTAAGACGCCTTCACCGGATGTTACATTAACTACCACTATGAAGATCGGTAATGATGAATATCCAAACTGTCATAAATTTTGTCAATATGATCATCGAGATCAACTAACTCGATGTTATTTTGGTCTGACGAACGATGGTAAAGCCAACTTTGTTTTCTCTTCTGTCCTCTCTTATTTTCTTATATTAGGTGTCTATGATTTAATAATCTATGGTAAGACTAAGGAAGAAAATACGTATGAAGGTGCAATTCATATGCGTCTGAAAGTTCGCGATCTTCTTCAAACGCCACTATTTCCAACATTTTATCGACCATTCAATGAACATCACTGTACGTTGATCGAACCATTTCGACGGGTTGTGCATCTAGGTGAACGTATTACCATAAGAATGTATATACCCGATGCAACGTCAGTTAGAGTTCAAAATGGTAATCAAAGCATGTCGACGTATGGTTTCGAAAATCAGATCTTGACGAAAGATGTTGTTGTTGAAGGGGATGTAACAGTCTCTGCTATTTTTGACAGAACAGAGATCTTTCAAGCTATCTGTAAGTTTGATATGGCATGATTATTCAAGAGGAAAATATATTAAAAAAATAAAAGTTTGTAGAGGAACGTCAACTTTTTATATCTATTCGATACACTATATTCACTTTTCGTATCCAAGTATACAGAATAATGAAGACCGCTTTCAATACTTTTTACTGTAAGATCAAGTGATAGAAAAGACAGTTTTACGTGCACACGCGTGTGTAAAATAACATAATGCTTCACATGTAAAAAAGTTAATGTTTGTATTATGAACTCGTTATATTTTGACAGCGTTTAGCACATCCGCATGGTCTTGGTAGGCAACATCTTTGATTGTCTTCGCAATCGTTATTGTCTGTGCAACACTTTGGTCCACTACTGCACATCGCTTGTATTGTCGAATTTAAACATACAAAAGCACAACGGATGTTTGGATAAGTTGGACAATTGTTGGCTGAAATGTTATCTATGTATATCTTTTATTGTAACAATACATATAAAAACTCACCATCATATACAATTGTTGATTCAGCTAAATAAACGAAAGCAAACAGTGCAAAAAGAAAAACGATATAACGCATTTTGATTTTAATATAAATAGTATTCTATGCTTGCTGAGTGGGTATATATATACGAATTGAAACGTACTCTTTGTCGTTTCCCTCTCACCTTTCATTACGCCTATTAGCCCATAAAGGACATTCACGTACGAGTATTTGCTATTCTTATCGTCCTGTATACGTATATTGTTTTATATGCATCTTATTGATTATGCTGAGTATACTTGCCTGAAGGAATGTGCTCGTTCGATGCGCAATTGTATTTACTTTGAACGAAAAGAAGAGAAAATTCCAAACAAAATGCTCCCGGCAAACTATAGTTAACAAAGTTGATAGATCCTAGGCCATAGACAATGATTAAGAGTTGCTCTACTGTTTGTTCAGTTGCTGTTGTTGCAAGCAAAATCAATTGTATCTGATGAATCGTGCTCGTCTGTCTAGTATCTCTGATGCGAATCTTATTTGTTAAAGATATGACCTAATGTTGAAATTTATTCATACTTTCTATAGAAATGAAAGATGGTTAGAATACCAATCATCACTCCGCCAATGGCAAATGTTGCGCTGGCTTCCAACAGTGAATTCTCCATCCACTATCAAGATCTTTTCAATATCCGATGCAATATATTCATGGTTTTGATTTCTTCATGGCACCTCCATTATTTAACTACTAATTCGTATGCATTTAAACTCCAAACAATATCTACAGAATTTTTCGCCTTCTCTGCACACACCCTACTCGCATAAAACAAAAAGAAATGGAAGACAAGAGCATGCCTGCATAATAATAGAATATGACTTATTCGAACGAATGTGATGAAACGAAGTATAGTGCCAGAATAAATAAGAGAACTTCTAATGGAAATCAGATAATAAAAAAAGAATAACTACAGGCGATTAAAAAAATATAATAATATTCAAGATTTGAATGAACAGAACATAATCGAAATTCAGATAACACAAGCCCAATGTCATATAATATACGTCAATACGTGTAACTAGAGAAACCCTAAGATACTATCAGCATAATGCTTTGCATGCATGAATGTGTAGCAGCTATTCTAATACTATACCACTTGTATCTATTGTTCCTTTATCAGGAACATAACCATACGGTTGGAAATCATGTTTCTCGGTAAGTTGTGTAACTCGTTGTACATCAGAGTAAGCGTTATTTAAGTTCTTGAGTTGAAAAACGGCACGTACCAATTCTTCGCTGCTTTCTAGCTTCTTTTCCCATGCCACCTCGTCATCATTATCACTTCTAGAAAAGTAAAATTCAATCATATTGGCTAGAGATTGGTCTGCATAGGATGTAGTTGGCTGATCTCGTGAGATAGTGAGAGTTTTGTTGAGTATGTGAGCTAAGCAAGGGCGAAGATATTCGATTCTCATAAGAATTGAATAAGTTGTCCGATTGTTGATAAGTGTAGATGTTATCACCTTCGGTGTTCTGTTACCACAACATAAAAAACTTCTCATAAAACCACTTGTCAATGAGCGGGAGCGAGAAGGATCATTCTTATTTGATGATGTCGTGACATATTCGCTTGTGTTTCGTTTATTCGTTCTTTTTATCTCGCTTGAAATATTAATTGAGATAATATCTTGAATCGGTATCATTTGAATGTTTTCATAATGTTCTAAGCTTGTCACTTGTTCGTTCTCTCTTCGTGCAATGCCTTCCGTGTGCTTTTCAGTATGCTGTTCGTTCCGAGTCCATGTATGCACGGACAGAAGTGGAGCGGTTTGAATATTTTCACCAACATCAGCACCTACATGTAATTCAAATATTTTTATTCTCATAAAGTAGGATGCTTCTAAAGTTTTGTTCATAATTTCAGTCCATATTCCTGTACAAGTATAATTTGTTTAAATTCTTTAATATCATATATGGAAAACTACATGGGCCAATTTGGATAGAATAATTTTTCAACATTATCTACAGTGAAATTTTTCTCATTTCTCGCCAGGTAAATGTTGTGCGACTAGACAATTATGTAGCTCCGCGACATATTAGTATTGTTTTATATTCAGTAGTACATTCCTTAATTCACAATATCAAATAAATCGGTTTTTACCATACAAGTAACGCTCGTCTGTGGACTCGCTCAGCTCTTTCTCGTAGAAATCATCCTCTATAATATCACTGAAGTTTCTGTTTATATAATATGTAAAACCTGATTNTACCAATTGTTAAGTCAGTTTATTATCGGTTGAATTTGAAACTAATTTCTCCTCAACAGTGCGTGGTTGAAACAAATCAACCATTGTTTGAAGTGACTATTAAGACGCCTTCACCGGATGTTACATTAACTACCACTATGAAGATCGGTAATGATGAATATCCAAACTGTCATAAATTTTGTCAATATGATCATCGAGATCAACTAACTCGATGTTATTTTAGTCTGACGAACGATGGTAAAGCCAACTTTGTTTTCTCTTATGTCGTCTCTTATTTTCTTATTAGGTGTCTATGATTTAATAATCTATGGTAAAACAAAGGAAGAAAGTACATATGAAGGTGCAATTCATATGCGTCTGAAAGTTCACGATCTTCTTCAAACTCCACTATTTCCAACATTTTATCGACCATTCAATGAACATCACTGTACGTTAATCGAACCGTTTCGACGGGTTGTGCATCTAGGTGAACGCATTACAATACGGATGCATATACCCGATGCGACAACGGTTAAAGTTCAAAATGGTAATCAAAGCATGTCGACGTATGGTTTCGAAAATCAGACGTTGACGAAAGATGTTGTTGTTGAAGGTGATGTGACGGTTTGTGCTATTTTTGATAGAACAGAGATCTTTCAAGTCATTTGTAAGTTTGATATGGCATGATTATTTAAGAGGAAAATATATTAGAAAAATAAAAGTTTGGAGAGGAACTTCAACTTTTTATATCTATTCGATACAATATGTTCACTTTTCGTATCCAAGTGTACAGAATAGTGAAGACCATTTTAAATACTTTTTACTATAAGATCAAGTGATAGAAAAGACAGTTCTACATGCACACGCGTGTATAAAATAACATGATGCTTCACATATAATAAAGTTAATGTTTGTATTATGAACTCGTAATAGTTTGACAGCGTTTAGCACAGCCACATGGTCTTGGTAGGCAACATCTTTGATTGTCTTCGCAATCGTTATTGTCTGTGCAACACTTCGGTCCACTACTGCACATCGCTTGTATTGTCGAATTTAAACATACAAAAGCACAACGGATGTTAGGATAAGTTGGACAATTGTTGGCTGAAACGTTATCTATGTATATCTTTTATTGTAACAATACATATAAAAACTTACCATCATATACAATTGTTGATTCAGCTAAATAAACGAAAGCAAACAGTGCAAAAATAAAAACGATATAACGCATTTTGATTTTAATATAAATAGTATTCTATGCTTGTTGAGTGGGTATATATATACGAATTGAAACGTACTCTTTGTCGTTTCCCTCTCACCTTTCATTACGCCTATTAGCCCATAAAGGACATTCACGTACGAGTATTTGCTATTCTTATCGTCCTATATACGTATATTGTTTTATATGCATCTTATTGATTATGCTGAGTATACTTGCCTGAAGAGATGTGCTCGTTCAATGCGCAATTGTATTTACTCTGAACGAAAAGAAGAGAAAATTCCAAACAAAATGCTCCCGGCAAACTATAGTTAACAAAGCTGATAGATCCTAGGCCATAGACAATGATTAAGAGTTGTTCTGCTGTTTGTTCAGTTGCTGTTGTTGCAAGCAAAATCAATTGTATCGGATGAATCGTGCTCGTCTGTCTAGTATCTCTGATGCGAATCTTATTTGTTAAAGATATGACCTAATGTTGAAATTTATTCATACTTTCTATGGAAATGAAAGATGGTTAGAATACCAATCATCAGTCCGCCAATGGCAAATGTTGCGCTGGCCTCCAACAGTGAATTCTCCATCCACCATCAAGATGTTTTCAATATCTGATGCAATATATCCATGATTTTGGTTTCTTCATGGCACCTCCACCATTTAACTACTAATCCGTATGCATTTAAACTCCAAACAATATCTACAGAATTTTTCGCCTTCTCTGCACACACCCTACTCGCATAAAACAAAAAGAAACGGAAGACAAGAGCATGCATGCATAATAATAGAATATGACTTATTCGAACGAATGTGATGAAACGAAGTATAGTGTCAGAATAAATAAGAGAACTTCTAATGGAAATCAGATTAAAAAAAAAGAATAACTACAGGCGATGAACAGAAGATAATCGAAATTCAGATAACACAAGCCCAATGTCATATAATATACGTCAATACGTGTAACTAGAGAAATCTCAAGATACTATCAGCATAATGCTTTGCATGCATGAATGTATAACAGCTATTCTAATACTAAACCACTTGTATCTATTGTTTCTTTATCAGGAACATAGCCATACGGTTGGAAATCATGTTTCTCGGTAAGTTGTGTAACTTGTTGTACATCATAGTAAGAGTTATTCAAGTTCTTGAGTTGAAAAATGGCACGTACCAATTCTTCACTGCTTTCTAGCTTCTTTTTCCATGCTACCTCGTCATCAGTATCACTTCTAGAAAAGTAAAATTCAATTATGTTGGCTAGAGATTGGTCTTCATAGGATATAGTTGGCTGATCTCGTGAGATAGTGAGAGTTTTGTTGAGTATGTGAGCTAAACAAGGGCGAAGATATTCGATTCTCATAAGAATTGAATAAGTTGTCCGATTGTTGATATGTGTAGATGTTATCACTTTCGGTGTTCCGTTACCACAACATAAAAAACTTCTTATAAAACGACTTTTCAATGGGCGGGAGCGAGAAGGATCATTCTTATTTGATGATGTCGTGACATATTCGCTTGTGTTTCGTTTATTTGTTCTTTTTAACTCGCTTGAAATTTTAATTGAGATAATATCTTGAATCGGTATCATTTGAATGTTTTCATAATGTTCTAAGCTTGTCACTTGTTCGTTCTCTCTTCGTGCAATGCCTTCCATGTGATTTTCAGTATGCTGTTCATTTCGAGTCCATGTATGCACGGACAGAAGTGGAGTGGTTTGAATATTTTCACCAACATCGGCACCTACATGTAATTCAAATATTTTTATTCTCATAAAGTAGGATGCTTCTAAAGTTTTGTTCATAATTTCAGTCCATATTTCTGTACAAGTATATTTTGTTTAGATTCCTTAATATCATATATGGAAAAATACATGAGCCAATTTCGATAAAATAGTGTTTCAACATTATCTACAGTGAAATTTTTCTCGTTTCTCGCCAGGTAAATGTTGCGCGACTAGACAATTATGTAGCTCCGCGACATATCAGTATTGTTTTATATTCAGTAGTACATTCCTTAATTCACAATATCAAGTAAATCGGTTTTTACCATATATTTTCAATTGAAGAAATGGACTGAGCTGAAATAAGTTATTATCAATTATATAACGACTAAATACAACATGTAAATCGAAGTCGAGGAATGGTAAATACTTTAGCGTACTATCGTTAAAACTAGCTTTGTTTTTTTTAATCTAATTTAGTCTTACCTGAATACAGCCGAACGAATCCATTACGAATTTCCGGTTTTGATACATATACGTTGTCCATTTGTAATGTTCTATTGTTCGTTCCGTGTGCTCTATTAGTACTCGTAGTGAGGGAAATATTGTTCATAATTAAATCAATGCTTTATCTTAGTGTATAAACACAAAATGAGTTCTATAGTATTGCGTTCAACTAAAATAAACAAGAGAAATATCGAGCATAGAATTTTGAAAGAAAAGAAAATCTCATATTATCATTCAAATTCGTTCGTTACAACATATGTAGGACGCCGAATAAGGTTGCATTGAAACATAGTTAGTAGAACAATGAAAATTGTCGCGCACCGACAATACTGATCGATACTTTTCAAACGATAAATTTTGTAGGTTCATCAGCATGGCCAACAAATAAACGTAAAACATCATACTGTTTTTCAACAATCTGTGACCGATACTTTTAAAATTGAATGAAGGCAACAAGTGTAATAAATGGATTCTTGCTTTCCTTATATTCTTTTCTAATAGCTTTTTCCTCATAGTTTATGCTTGTTAGAACATTATTTTAGGTAATAGATGCGTGTTCTATTTTGGTTGTTTCTGTACTTAAAATACCATTCATATTCATCCCTTATAGTTCTATTTTGTATAGTTTTCGTTACGACAGCCGTATCTCGAAATACATTACACTATATTGCAACAATCAATATTTTACCAGCCCGTTTTTGTTCGAAGATACAAAACTAATCGCCGGAGGAGTAAATGCAACTTCGGAAGGAGCAATGTGACCTTTACTCTCTCATTGGATGGAATATTGTAACAACAGGCATAGGTTTTGTCGAAGACCTAGCAACTGAGCTGAAAATAGCTGTTTCACGATTGGTTCGTTTGATATTTTATATTCAAAAACAAAGACTAGAGATCATTTCTACCACTACTACTCTATCCTAATTGTTTCATTTGAAGGATAGATGTGCATCTACAGTATGTTTACATCCATAACATACATTACTGCGCAATATATATTTCATTCTTTCCTCTTCTCTTCTCTATATTTCTCGGCTCACTACTAGACATTTTTCTGTTCGGTAGCACACAACACACGTATGTTTGTCTCTCTGTCATTACAATGTCATTGTGGCACATAAATGATCCGTTTCAAATCGCTACCAGCCGAATTGTTGCTCACAAATTTGATCTGCTATATAGATTTACCAAACTCAATCAAAGATTTCTACAAATTGTTTTCAGTCATATGTTTGTCATATTGACCTAACAACAAAACACTTTCCTTCCTATAAATGCTTTCGCCTATTCCATGAACACAACCTTCGCGACAACCTTCATCACATTCGATATCTTACCTTGTTCGATTATCCGCACTCTCAGTTCTTTTCAAATTATCTGCATCATTTCATCAATCTGAAATCACTCACAATCAAAAATACACAACATGATGAGCAAAATACGTTTCCGCGCAAAGCCTTAACTGTACCATCCTTATATGAACTTACAATTTCTTTCCCCGACCAGAACATACTGAATAAAGTATGTATCTTCGTATGCATTATTGAATTTGACCAACTGACATATATTGAAGAACGAAATCTATCGCCTCAATTGATTAATGGCGAAATTAAAAATCTTTATTTGATCATTTTGACAACATTAGTTACACTAACTGTTGAGTTCAAAACTTATTCCACGTCCAAAGGTTCGTCACCCAATTTTGAAACGGTACACAAATTTCTTGTACTTTTCAAAAACCGTTGACAATTATTGCAATCAATATTTGCGACAAACACTGCGAACTATGACAAGTTTCACGGTCTTATTGAAGAGTTCACTCGTCTGGAAAAATTTCAATATCTCATCAATACGAACCAACAGCCCGAAGTTTGCAACACGTTTTTTACCAATGTAGACCAATTACCTGATTTAACTGTTTCTATCTACACTCCTCCTAAGCCTAAACTATTCGACAATATGTCTTCTCGTTCGGGAAATCAAATAGGACTCAACCTAAAACTTACTCTACGACAAATATACCACTATCGCGGTCATTATCGAACAGGAATTCATCGATACCAACAAGTTTTGAACTAGACAAAAACTTGGTCTTCAACAGTCTGCATAGCATAAGTATCGGCGATCCACTTGCTCTGTGTCCGTCTGCAAGATTAAAATGCGTAGCTATGATTGCTGCAAAATCATCTAATTTAAAAATCATTTCCTGAAGCTCGCGATGAACCACGAAGAAAATTCGCGAAATTAGTATTTTTAGATATTGAAATGCTCGTTCCAAATCCAACCACACTCGATAATTACGGACAAGATCTATTCGGTATGAACGATAAGAAATGGCTGCACTATACAATGATCAATAACACAGGTGAAACCGACTATTGTTCTCTTTGTATTTGGTTATAAAAACATCCGTTGACAATTACATGCAAAATTAAAACAGTTTCATGAACTCTTGTTTATTTTCATAACAAGCTCTCTAATTTTTGATAAAATTCAATTTTTTTCTCATCAACATCAGAATGAATTCCATACGCATTGAGAAAGATCTCTCTGAAACCATCGCCTAGATTGTATTGAATACTCCATAAGCCAAGTGCAATGTCATGATACCGATCAGCAATGCCTGCACATCCGAGATCAACAAAACCAATCGCACGACATTCGTTATCATCGAAAATTNATCTCGTTTGGTAAAACCGTAAACAGGTGCGCCATATGAGGCGAAGGTTGTTGCAATCATTGTGTTGGCCGTCGCAATGCCAATACAAAAAGCAGACACTGGCATGAACACTTGGAACATATTTTTAGTTTTATGTATGTGCGTTTGATTGTGAATAATAAAGATTAATTGAGGTGTGAGGGTGGATGTGAGGGCGAGAAAGAAGAGCGAGAGCTGAAAAGCGTTGGAAAGTGTGCGACTAGATGTGATAAGTTGAAGAGAAATTGAGATATTTAGAGCACAGAGGGTGGCCAGGTATGCGTATGGAAGACCGCTGATGGGAAGGCCAAAACTCTCGATAAGAGTAGAAGTTCAACCATTTGTGTATGCTAGTAAACAGAAGTGTTAGGACTAACGACTAGCAGTGTCATGGACTATCCACTAGACTCACACTTCAGGAAGAGGCTATGAGTGAGTAGTGACTTTGAGAATAGATTTAAGTGAGATATCACGACTAGAAATGCAACAATAATGATGTACTTGAAATAGATTTCGTCTTTGAGTAATGCTTGAGATTCATCGATCAACTGGTATCTATTGTGTTATGTTGAGCAGAAAGTTCGCGGTCACTTGCGAAAATGGAAGTTTGGTGCAAATCATTACGAACGTTTTACTCAACATAGTAGATCAAGAACCTGTATCTTTTCATGCTCCATAGCTTTCTCATAGAAATGATCGCCAGAAAAAGTGAGTATCAGGGTCATTTTTGGCTAAAACTGCTGAAACATGCATATTGCGACTAGATTCAAGGAGATTTTTATGAGATTATCCTATCATCCGAGCGACAAGAATGGCATATTTGAAATCAACACAAAAAACTGAGCTGATCTACAGTTCTGCACAGAATTATAAGAACGAGTTTTTTTTTCAAAGTGTCAGTCAGTCCTCTTTGTCTATTTAGGCTGCTTTGAAAATCAGCATGTATACATCCAAGTGCTTAGACATGTCGCAATACCAATACTCTTGGAAATTGAGTATTGATATTGGGCAGCTGTTGACGGTATTGAAGGTATTGGTATTGATTAGTATTGATCAATGCTTTGTCAATTTCTACAACCATTTTCAATTATGTCGAGTGCCGTGGATAGCGTCGCTCCATATGTGATCAATACTATTTATGGCACTTGGTAAAATTGAGAATGAGTGTAGAAATTGACAAGGTATTGATCAATACTAATCAATACCAACAAGTAACGCTCGTCTGTGGACTCGCTCAGCTCTTTCTCGTAGAAATCATCCTCTATAATATCACTGAAGTTTCTGTTTATATAATATGTAAAACCTGATTTGAGATTCGTAATTCTTGACTTCGAAAGCCCTTCGGTCAAACTTCACCAAAAAACAATTTTCAGTAAAAAATAACCCTTCTCCAAAAACATTTTTTCTATAAAAAATTTTAAAAAACTAACATCAGACTTGAATCACTCGACCCCAAAAGACCCTTTGTTGAAATGTCATGACAAAAATATTTTTTTCATAAAAAATTTCAAAGAGATGACATCAGATTCGAGTTCCTCGACCCAAAAAACCCTTTCGTCAGTCTTCACAAAAAAACCTTTTTCATGAAAAAATGGTCCTTTGTCTTAAAAAATTTTTTTTACAAAAAATTTCGAGAAACTAACATCAGATGTGAATTCCTGGACCCCAAAAATCCTTTGGTAAAATTTTATAAAAAAAAAAGTTTTTTGCAAAAAAATGGTTCTTTGTCTCAAAAAAAACTTTTTTTATGAAAAATTCGAAAAACTAACATCAGATTCGAAGTCTCCGCATCGAAATACACCTGGAAATATCTATTCCGCAAAATCGATTTTCAATGTTTTTTTGACCCTGCGGACATACAAGCAAGCAAGCAAGCAAACAATTTATGTTTCTAAGACTCTTCTCTACGAGAAAGAGAATATTTTCAATTGAAGAAATGGACTGAGCTGAAATAAGTTATTATCAATTATATAACGACTAAATACAACATGTAAATCGAAGTCAAGAAATGGTAAATACTTTAGCATGCTATCGTTAAAACTAGCTTTGGTTTTTTTAATCTAATTTAGTTTTACCTGAATACAGCCGAACAAATCCATTACGAATTTCCTTTTTTGATACATATACGTTGTTCATTTGTAATGTACTATTGTTCGTTCCGTATGCTCTATTTGTACTCGTCGTGAGGGAAGTAAATTTATTGTTCATGATTAAATTAATGCTTTATCTTAGTGTATAAACACAAAATGAGTTCTATAGTACTGCGTTTAACTAGAATAAACAAAAGAAACATCGAGCATATAAAATTTTGAAAGAAAAGAAAATCTCATATTATCATTCAAATTCGTTCGTTACAACATATGTAGGACGCCGGATAAGGTTGCATTGAAAGATGGTTAGTAGAATAATGAAAATTGTCGCGCACCGACAATACTGATCGATACTTTTAAAATTGAATGAAGGCAACAAGTTTAATAGATGGATTCTCGTTCTCCTTATATCTTTTTTCTAATAGTTTTTTCTTGTTATTCCTTCTTTTTCTCATAATTCATATATGTTCGCATATCATTTCAGGTAACAGATGCGTGTTCTTTTTCTGTTGTCTCTATACTTAAAATACCATTCATATACATCCCTTAAAGTGCTATTTTGTATAGTTTTCGTCACGACAGCCGTATCTCGAAATGCATTACAATATATTGCAACAATCAATATTTTAACCAGCCCGTTTTTTGTTCGAAGATACAAAAGTAACCGCCGGAGGAGTGAATGCAACTTCCGAAGGAGCAATGTGACTTTACTCTCCTCTTGGATGGAATACTGTAAACAACAGGCATAGGTTCTGTCGAAGACCTAACGAGTTCAAAATTTATTCCACGTCCAAAGGTTCGTCACCGAATTTTGAAACGGTACACAAATTTCTTGTACTTTTCAAAAATCGTTGACAATTATTCAATCAATATTTGTGACAAAGATTTTGCCAACTACCGACAAGTTTCACAGTCTTATTGAAGAGTTCACTCATTTGGAAAAATTTGAATATCTCATCAATACGAACCAGCAACCCGAAGTTTCCAAGTCGTTTTTTTACCAATGTAGACCAATTACTTGATTTAACTGTTCCTGTCTACACTCTTCCTAAGCCTCAACTATTCAACAAGGTGTCTTCTCGTTCGGAAAATCAAATAGGACTCAACTCAAAACTTACTCTACGACAAATATACCACTGTCGGACATTATCGATCAGGAATTCATCAATACCAACAAGTTTTGAACTAGACAAAAACTTAGTCTTAAAAAATCTGCATGGCATCACTACTGGCATCCATTTGCTGTGTGTCCGTCTGCAATATTAAAATGCGTAGCTATGATTACTGCAAAATCATCTAATTTAAAAATCAGTTCCTGAAGCTCGCGATGAACCACGAAGAAAACTCGCGAAATTAGTATTTTTAGATATTGAAATGCTCGTTCCAAATCCAACCACACTCGATAATTACGGTCAAGATCTATTCGGTATGAACGATAAGAAATTGTTGCATTATACAATGATCAATAGCACAGGTGAAACCGACTATTGTTCTCTCCGTATTTGACTACAAGAACATCCGTAGACAATTGCGTGCAAAATTAAAACAGTTTCATGAGCTCTTGTTTATTTTCATAACAAGCTCTCTAATTTTTGATAAAATTCAATTTTTTTCTCATCAACATCAGAATGAATTCCATACGCATTGAGAAAGATCTCTCTGAAACCATCACCTAGATTGTATTGAATACTCCATAAGCCAACTGCAATATCATAGTACCGATCAGCAATGCCTGCACGTCCAAGATCAACAAAACCAATCGCACGACATTCGTTATCATCGAAAATTATATTCGGTAAACAATAATCACCATGAGTGAAAACAAGATCTTCGTCAGGTGCATGTGAAATCAACTCCTTAAAATCATGTCTATCTTTCGCTTGATTAATTAATCGCATGTCAAATGGACAATCAGTAATCGGTATTGTTTCATGAAGATGGTGAAGTGCAACGCCCAATTGATGGACTAACAGCTTTGGATCTTGTTTCGTCCATTTGGTTTGAGCCGCATCTGTTCCGATCAATCGTGTCATTAATAAATATTCAAATCTTTCATCTCGATCATAATCGACTACATATGGTACAGATGCTTTGCCTTTCAGCCATTCGATTCGGGATTTTTCATCAGATAGATAAGTTCTTTCCTTGATCATTTGTTTTTTTAAAACAAATTGATCAGTTCGATAGACATCTGCATTCGATTCGCCGATAGTCACGCATTCCCAATCGAAATGCCCATATTTCCCTTCGAACCTTCCACTAACTTCTACTTTCATTCTATTTCAACCAAAAAAAAGAAATTTTATTTGTTAATCTTCTGTTTGACAAAAGAACGAATAAAGTTAAACTGCAGCAGATGGCGGTCGTTTGCGTTTCATTTTGGGTTCTTGTTTTAGCTTCCGATAGAATGAAGTTATTGGTGAATCATTGGCATACGATCTTTGAACGAATTTTACATGTAGCTGTTGTTTTCACGCGATGAAAACTCGCATAATAATGTTCATCTCGCATCTTTTCTAATTGCGAAACAAAGTTTTTATATATTTAAATAGTTTCGATCTTTTACCATTCCGTTCATTCCATCGAGAAATAATCGAATACAGCACCGACGGTGATCGAATTCCGCTCTTCTCTTTGAATCCGTAATTAAAACGATACTTCGTGGTTAAATGCTCATTTTTACATTCGCCACGTATCGTTGGGTATAGTTCATCAGACATAATCTGAATTCCTTCGAAATTTTGACAAGGTTGATCTAGGATATAATAGATGAGCATAGATTGTGACAGAAGCATTGATTTCAATCGAACGACGCTCTTCGCAGATTGTTCGGCGTTCAATATAAGGTTTCGAACGGTTTCCAGCATTGGATGAAGAAACTTTCTTAAAACAGGACCAGCATCACTAATGGTAAAGCAAAAGAAAACATTTGAATAAAAGTCACTGTCAAAGAATTGGAGCATATGCAGTAGTGATGGATATAATTTATTCATATTTCGTTTCAATAGAATGCACAACGCATTTAAGTGTGAGAAATTTTGCAATAAATAAGAAAAGATACGTTGGAGATTCGCATCATCTTGATTTTGCCCGTGTGGAACACCAAAGTCAAATGTATCGATGATTTTCAATGTATTGCCATTAGGAATGAAACGGGAATGAAAATAGTTGGCAAGAGCATTGATAAATGTGAATTTTCCACTTCTCGATGCACCATATAGAAGAATGCTCATTGTGGAATAATCTTTTCGAATGAATTTAGGAGTCGACATTGATTCTTTGGAAGCAATGATCATCGTGTTTGAAAGTTCATGAGTAGAGTAGTACGAGAAAAACGCATAAATAAGGCGTAAATCTGGGCGGAGCTGTCGTTGCTCAATGAAACGCGACAATTTGTCATTCCACTCATCAGTATTTTGTTTTTTTCAGCAAGTCACTGGAACAAAAGATACAAACATAATCATCGTTGTTATTATTGAATTTATCCATTAAAGTATATGGATCAACATTTTCTATATATTGATAACATACTTGCTTTTGTTTTAATGTAACAATAAGATCCTGTTTCGCTTCAAAGTCATTCAAATCTGATTCTAAATCATCAAATTGTTTTTCGAGTTCATGTAGAATCGAGATTTTCTGAGTGAGAAAAAGCGTCAACATTCGAATAAATCATCGTTGATGGAATTGACTGTAAAGGTTCTGTTTGGTCTGGTGTTACATCAGATCTATAACCGGAACCGTTTAGCAGGTTTAACACTATCTTTAGAAGGGTATTGTCGACTTGATTAAGTGATGATGAATCATCGCAGTTCAGTTGAATGAATACAGCAATGACAAGACCATATTTGACTTCAGTAACAATATTTTTAGTTCTCGGATTAGGATTCAGCTGTTCGAAGAGAGCTTTATTCGAAGAAGAACTGTCTGCGATGCAATGATTCCGATTCTAATGAGAATAGTATATAAAGCGAGTCTTGGAATCGATTGGAAAAGGGTAATTCACGATTAAGAGAAGTCCTTCGGGTTCAATCAAGTTTAAGGTGAGACTTAGGCGAATGTTTTGCTCAATTTCAACTATTCGAAGTAGATCTTCACATTTCTAATGATCGTATCAGTACGTATATCATATTATGTGCTCTAATCCGAACATTTCATTAGCTGTTGGACGTTTTATATATGACGGATTTGAGAACAGTTGATCTTTTATAAGGCATTGTTCAATCTTACCTGCGTGCGTTTGTTGATAATTTTTAGATACAGCCATTTATTCAACGTCCGATTGCAAATCTAAACAAATGAGTATGTAGCCTAATCACTGTCTGATGTTGAAAACTAACTTTAATCAAAAGATAGTCACTTTTGTTTCCTAGGCACACTTCAAGATTTCGTGTTTTATAAAGAAGAACAGAAAAATGTAGTATAGAGAAGAAGTGATAAGTGCACGTGAAATAAACAACAAAACAACACAACTTGCAACATGGCATGCATACACAAAAGCCATCTTTGTTTTTCTTGTTACTGTGTTTGACAACTAGTATTGCTCTAGTGTCAAGGTTGAAATTGAATACAACGTCACTACATCTAATGCGGTATACAGTACACAATGTGCGCCCGACAAATTATTTACAACTAATCAGATAAATGCTCTTCTATATCAAAGAATTCTTTATGAAATCAATTTGAAAATATTCGTATAAAAAAATCACGTCGTTGTTTGTCTTTAGTCTTCAGCATGTTCTTCTGGTGGTCGTTGATATTCAGGATTTGAAAGTAAATAAATAACAACTAAAGCGAATAAGCTTGTAAACACGCAAAAGAAATCCATGATCAAACGCCGTTTGCGTTCAACATCGTTGGGTGTAAAAAATGATGAACCCATTCCATATTCAGATAAACCTGTTAGCACAGCTATGACAGCGGACATAAAGATGACTTTACCCCAGAGTCGATGACTAGAGAATATCAAGGGATATGAACGAAAAGACATTTTTTCGAAAATTTTACCTTGGCATGTACGTTTTTCGAATTTCTAAACTCATTTGTGGAAATAGGAAACAAACAAAACCACAAATCCATTGAAAAACAAAGAGAATCAATGTTGCGAGACCAAGCCATGAATGGTAGGTCATAAAATGCGGTCGTTTGCCAAGATTTTTACTTCGTATAATAGCAATAAAACCAAAAATGCCAAGCACCAATGATAAAATTAGAAACAGAGCATGGCCGATTTTCACAAATAGTTTCGGTACTGTTCGAAATGTTCGATATAGAAGAATTGCATTGCCATAACAAAATACCAAACCAAGTGTCATCATTAACGGATGATAAGTAAATGGATTGTTTGGCCAATCATATGTATCTTTGTAAACGCGACCATCGAATAATAATCCCACTAAGATCACACTGAGTAAACCAAATATCTCAGCTAGAATTAAGAAAATTGGATACATTTGTTCCGTGATAATAGCCATTGTTGTTGATGATGTTGCTCTTTTTCTTCGTTTATGCAAATGGGAGTAAGGTAAAGTGTAGCCTTATTTATATATATACAAGGTAAGACGCAGAAAAAGACACTCGTAATCATGACCTTCGCATCAGTATGATAAAACACTTTTTCCTTTACTTTTTTTGTTTTCTTTTATCGAATTCGATTGTAAATCTAAACGATGTGTTGAGGATTAATAAATCGTTTCGATAAAAGCCGAGGGATGCATGTATTATGTAAATCGTCTAATTTTCGTCTTGAAAAAGATTAAATCCGCAGTCCTTTCGTTATTTATTGAAAAGTGCAACGAAGGGCAAGATAAATCGACAAGAAGTTAAAGTTTCTCGTTCGTCGTTGAAATAAACAATAGATACTATCATCAACAGGAAAGAATATGGTATAAGAAGAAAAAAAACTAAGCCGATGTCGATCGAAACATTCGTTTGCAGTTCTGTATACAGAAAGAGAAACATTTACGTTGAAAAAAAAATCAATATTTCAAAGAAAAAGAATGAGTATAGTTTTGCTTGCAAAATAATAAACGTCATTATTACTCATTCTATTCTATTCTAACAGTGGAAACGGAAAATACCAACTATACACGTATTTCATATAAATCCTAAGACGATGCGTATTAGAATCATCAATATTCAAATAATAAACTGAAATGAGTCTTACGCGTGACGTCAAAAGCATCGAAGATAATTCAAACCGAAGTTTTACTTTAGAACGACAGAAACATGCGGAATTACACGTGCAAGATCAAGTACCACCGATTCGAACCAATTACGAACAGGTTACTTTAGTATGGCTCGATAGTCATGTTAAAAATAACGGACCTTTTGCTGATGATATTCATTTGACTGAGGAGTTATTACGCAAATTAAATGATTATGTGATGCTATTCGATAATGAACTTGAATGTCTTACCTATATCGATTCGGTAAAAAATGAAACTGTTCTGCTGATAGTTTCTGGCACGTGTGCAACATCGAATTTGCTTGACGCACTACAAAAGTTATCCTATGTCGACTCCATTTTTATCTTTTGCCAAAATAAGAATAATTATGAACGATTAAAAGAAAATTACAAGAAAGTCGTTGGCATTTTTACTGAACAAAGAGATCTTGGAGAAAGTATTCGAAATGCTATTGAAGTTATCGACAGACAGTCAACCATATTTGCTCTGTACAATGCGGATAAACAAAAATCCATGCGAGACCTTAGTCGGGAGTCTGGTTCGTTCATCTTTCTTCAACTGATCAAACAAGTTATCAAACGGATGTCAATGAACAACGGTTCAGCCGATAACAGCAAGCAGGAGATGATAGACAAGTGTCGCCTGTATTATCGAGGAAACGAAAAAGAACTAGAAAATATCAAGGAATTCGAAAAGCATTATAAACCCAATCAAGCGATCAAATGGTACACTCGAGATTCATTCGTCTATAAACTAATCAACAAAGCCTTACGCACTGAAGATATTGATTCATTATACACTTATCGGTTTTATATTGTGGATATCTGCGNAACGAAAAAGAACTAGAAAATATCAAGGAATTCGAAAAGCATTATAAACCCAATCAAGCGATCAAATGGTACACTCGAGATTCATTCGTCTATAAACTAACCAACAAGGCCTTACGCACTGAAGATATTGATTCATTATACACTTATCGGTTTTATATTGTGGATATCTGCGAATGTTTGGCTGAAAATTGTCAAATACTGCGAGATGTGGCATCGGATATAACAGTCTATCGAGGTATGAAGATGCGTCGAGCAGAAATAGAACGACTTCAGGAAAGTATTGGTCATCATATTGCTGTTAATGGCTTCTTTTCAACTAGTCGAGATAGATCTGTTGCTGAAATGTATGCAGGAATCAATGCTGCACAGTCGGTCTCGTCCCATGCAGAGGACACCGAATCAGTCGTGTTTGTTATTTATGCTGACTTGGAAGTTCATCCGGACCTGATTTTAGCTGATGTATGCTGTCTCAGTTCATTTCGAGACGAAGGTGAAGTTCTTTTCGATCTTGGCACAGTATTTAAAATCGTATCGTTCACGTACGACAGCGACAAAAATTGTCGGATTTGCCATATGGAAGCAAGCGATGAAGGCCGTACTATAGCTCAGGGATATCTTGATTTCAAACAGAAAGAATTGCATTCATCATCAGATATCGAAATTGTATTTGGAGACTTACTACACGTTATGGGTGAGTGGCTAAAATCTCGTGCGTATTTCGAAAATCTTGCCACTCGGCGAATCAATGATCCACAAGTTCATCTCGGTATCGCTCGAACTTATGAATCTCTTAATCAATCCGATCAAGCTCTGCAGCATTTGAGTCAGGCATATGACTTAGCTATGCAAGACAACCCCGAGCGATTGTCGCTGGCAGCAAAGATCTGTCACTACATTTGCCGAGTGCATTCGTTGTGCAACAATTTTAACGACGCTCTCCTGTTTAACAGCAAGGCTCTTGAACTCTATCGACGGGCCGGTGAACATGATAACCGAGAGGGTATTGCTCTAGCATTGATAGCTGCAGGTAATATATGTTTTCTAAAATGTGAACATGATATAAGTTTAGAACATTATCAAAGAGCCCTTCAGATTTTTATGGAACTGTATCCCTTCGATCATCCGGATAAAGGTGTTGCTTTGAGTTCCCTCTCGTTGTCTTACTATCTGAGAGGTGAATATGAATGTGCACTAAAGTATATGCTTGAGTGTGTAGCAGTTCACGAGCGATTACTTCCTACAGACCATCCGCATTGTGCTGTAGGTCACACATCTGTTGGTAAATTATTGTACAAACAAGGAAAATACTCTGAAGCACTCGAACAATTCCATTATGCCATGGGCCTGTTCGACAAACGAAGGACGAATCATCATCGAAATTATGCTCTTCTACTGAACAACATAGGCAAAACTCTCTACCGACTCAATAAACTAGACGAAGCTTATGAACAGTACAATAAAGCTATGCAATTTATCGAGAAGTTATTTCTAACGAAGTCGACAGATCATGCCGATCTAGCATATACATGGAAAAACTTTGGCGAACTTCGTATGGCAAGATTTGATACTACCGGTGCACTTAGTTTATTTGAGCGTGCTCGAGATATGTATAAACGACTCTTCACAATTGCTGAAAATCATCGAGATATTGCTAAGTGCTGGCACCTCATCGGACAAGCGCACGTGGCATTGGAAAACGATACAGAAGCAATAGAATCATTCGAGATAGCACTACAGATGTGGATAAAAACGCTACCCAAACATCATCCCGATATTGCACTTTGTCATCAATCTATGGGTGAATTTTATGTCAACAGAAAAGGAGACATCGACAAAGCTATTGATCATTATCATACAGCACTGACTATCTACGAAATGCAACAAGATGATAGTTCCAAACATATAGAAACGATACGAAATAAACTAATTTCTTTGAAAAAAAGCACGGCATGAGTACATATAAATAATAAATATCGCTTATAGCCAGAGAAATCTACTTTGGAAAATTTCGTTCTAGTTCATCTTTACTCTGATATCTATGTAATTCCGTACAATTTGGCCCATTGTTGATTCCTGATTGCCTATTCGAATATAGAATTCCATCAAGATGGTCTGTTTCATGTTGCCACACACGAGCTTGCCAACCTGACAGCTGCTCATTCGTATGCTGAACTCCTTGGTCGTCAACGTAACTGACTTCAATATGCGTGTATCGCTCGACTATTCCGTATGCATGCGGAACGCTAAAGCAACCTTCATTAGAGAAATTTGTATATTCATCGGCCGGTGTCGACGACGATCCGTCGGTTGTTTTTTGAATCTGTTCGATTGGATTGTAAGTTGGATTGAATACTACTTTCACAGTTCCATCACTACCATTTGGAGAGAATAGAAAGATCCGCTTTCTTATGTTCCATTGATTTGCTGCCATGCCCGCTGCTTTGCTATACGGAGCATTTGCACTTTTTAATTGTTCTGGCCTAATCGAGTAAATCATGTTTGCAACGATTTGCTTTGTTTCGTCGCTATGAATATCTTCTAATGACATTTCCTCAATTGGATTGTGAAGTATAGGATCTGCTTCCGTTACAAGGCAGAGTAATTGAGGAATGATTTCTTTCACACAGCTGCTGGATGACATTGATCGAATTCGACCTAAATATAAACCTCCTAAATTAAATTGGATTAGAAGCAGATTGATTCCAACCACTCAAAGTGGTGGAATAAATTCTTGATGATGAAAGACGGAAACCGGCAAATGGATGTTAGACTACGACTTTTTGAAACACGTGGATCCTCTATCTGTTTTCATGCGATAACGAAAATATGCGTATCAAAACATGACAAAGTGAAACAAAACGCTTTCTTTCTTTCTTAATCTAAAATCGTTGCGATTGGTTGTTCCTTTTGAACTGCATCTACATCCATCTACAGCATGATCTATAACTCTCTTGAGGAAATATAGTTGTGTAGAAAGATTGAAAACAAGTTGAGATCGACATCGACGAAGTTGGATGAACGCGACAACGAATCATATCAGTAGAATAATGATTTGTACATGTGTGCCGAGAGGTTAGAGCTCGCTTGAATTGTTGCCAATACATTACATTTCTTCGATGCAAGACATAATCACACATTGTTTTCGATCTTAAAAAGATGACAACCTGCACGGAAAACGATTAATACTTTCTTTTTACTTCACATACTTTGTTAGTAATGAAAATATATTAAAATTTAGTAACGCGCGAACATGATTAGAAATATAGTCTTTACTGGTTAAGTATAACAAACAAATACTGAAGTAACCACTGAATAGCGACAGACGATTTTAACACTGTGTGATTTCGTTCTCCACTAATCTCTGTTAATCACATTTTTGAAAACGGATGTTTATCGCTTTATTTCATGTTAAGCTGAGGCAAACAGATGGCCGTTCTTCGCATAGTCACATGTTCATCGTCTAAAAGGAGTTTCACCTGGAATCCTACAAAGGACATTTTAGCGAAATTAGTTAGAGTTTCTAAGTCTTCTCTTTTTGTTAATTAAAGCAATCACTAATTGAATTTTTCCAAAGCTAAATCCTTATCGCACTCGCATTTGCAAATGTACGGGATCCAATAGGATCTTGTTTTTTTTCTTCTGTTGATTTTCATTTACCGAGTAAGTAACAAGCAAAGGAAATGATTCACTAACGGTTATTTTCTATCATTATTGCTCGATAGAGGATTACATCTGGAGTATACCGACATTTGATCGTTATCATGGCGAGGAGAAACTGGAATTGCTCTATTCAAAGGAATATATATTGAAAAACGAACGCATAATTACGAAATAATTCAACAATGTACACGATCGTTACATCTATCGAGTTTTCGATCGTCTGAGCCGTTTTACACTTTTTCTTTCTTGATACAAAACGTCTTTTGACGTTTGAATCGAATTTTGAATACCTACTACCAATCTCAAGTAAACATCATTCGAATAAAAGAACTAAGAGAGAAAGAACACAAAAAAAACTGCTTGTTAGGCGTTTTCAGTTCTCATATTCCGTGTTTGTCGATTCATGTTGCACAATTCTTTCTTATAGACATTTAACAAACCAGACTCAATAGGTTTGAATTGTGAGATCAAAGTATACAGAGTGTGGTTATCACACTACGAGCAAACAGTGCACAGAATGTATTCACTTTCTGCTTGGTCAATACATATAAATGCATGTTCTCATACANACCGGCATAAACACTCTTTTCCCTATATATACTGCATATATGACTCAAGAATCTCAAGTCATACGCAAATGACTCAATCATCATGAGCACATACACATGACTCATGGCAGAATGCCATGACACCTCCCCCGACGAAAAAAGCAGACGGCCAAGCAGAGAAGAGCGCCGAGGAGAGAGCAAGCAAGGAGAGAACGACAAAACGAAAAGAAATAGCACAGCGGCGCAACACAACATGATAAGAAAGAGAAAAAAAGAAAAAAAAAATGAGGAAAGCGAAAAATATGTTCGATGTAATGGAGCAAGAAGACGATCATGTGAGAATGCCACGGGGTGGTGCTGGAGCACGTTGTAAACGAACGAGAATACGACGGTAAAAACAGAAGAAAACCAAACCGCAGCAAGTGAGTGCAAGAAGGCCATTGACAACTACCATGAGATAGAGAACGCAGTAGTCACGCCAGGACGAGTGGAATTGACGAGAATGTGCTTGTAAGGAGGCGGCCATCGAATTGACAATGTCTACATGTACATTCGAAGAGGGCGACAAAGGTTTTGAATCAATAATGCTGTGTAAAGCAGTTGCCGAGAAGATGGATGAGAATACCAGAAGATGGACAACGACGAACAACATGATAAAAGAGTAAGAAATGAATGAATGAGATAGCAAAAAAGTAACGGTATATATATATGTGAGGAGAGTAGATATCCAGGAAACATATAGGGACAGAAATATGCGAAAGAATCAAATCATGTGAGAGAAAACACGGGAAGATCCAGGCTGCCACAACCTGGAGAGCAAAGTGTGAAAGAATGATGGACTAGTGTGAAATGAAACAAGATAGAGAGAGAAGAAAGAACTACGTAGAAAGGCGTTCGACAAAGGGATGGAGCTGACTTATATGACACCATGAGCTGTAACCAGAAGACGGATCATGAACGAGATAAGTCTGAGTACCGGAAATATCAAGAATGGTATATGGACCTGAACGACGTGCATCAAGTTTAGTGCGACCAGTAGCTACATTCAAATAGACACGATCGCCTACGCTATAAGATGGATCCTGACGATTGCGATTATAACGTTGTTTCCAGTGAGACTGGTGACGCATGATATTATGGCGGGCCTGGGATGTAAGAAGGCGACGGGTACGTTGTAGATACGGGTAGAAAGAATGGAGAGGAGGAAGATCGAGCGCGGTGAAGCAGCCTCGAATGGACTTTTAGGACAACGACCAAACGCGACTTCATAAGGCATAAGTTCAGTAGTAGAATGGATTCTGGTATTATACGCATAAACGATAGAGGGGAGATAAAGATCCCAATCGTGACGATTAGGATGACAGTATTTGGCAAGTTGAGCAGCAAAGGTGGCGTTAAACCGCTCAACTTGTCCATTAGTCTGGGGATGATAAGCGACAGAAAAAGAATGCGGGATCTGCATAGAGGTAGTGATGGCACGTAGAAGAGTGTTGTTAAAATGTGTACCATTATCAGTAAGTATTCGTTCGGGAGAACCATGTAGAAGAATAAAACGGTCAATGAGAAACTGAGCAGCGGAACGTGCAGTACAATCAGGGAGAGCCTGAGCGATCACATATTTAGACAAGTTGTCAGTGAGAACAATGACATAGCGATTACCAGAAGCAGAAGGTGTTTGAACAGGCCCCCAAAAGTCCAGATGCAGTAGCTGGAAAACACCCGATGGTGGATCAATCGAACGGAGGTGGCCGGGAGGCTTAGCGCGAAGAATATTATGCCGAGCACAAGAATAACAAGAAGCAATGTAATTCTGAATGCTAGAACGCATATTAGGCCACCAAAATTTATCACGAATACGCAAAAAAGTGCGATGTACACCAAAATGACCACTAGTCGGATGATCATGATAGAGACGAAGCACCAATGGAATGAGAGACTCCGGAAGGTAAGGAATTCGAGAAGGACCGTTAGAAGCGGAACGAGAAACGAGACGGAACAAAATATCATCGTGTAAAATATACTGTGGATGAGAAGGAATCTGACGCAGATGTTGAATAAGAGACAGAATCTCAGGATGAGAATGTTGAGCAGTTTTAATACGAGAAAGACTGAGATCGAGCGAAATATCAGGGGAAATGGTAGGCGAGTTGGTAGAAGAAGTAGAAAGATCGGTTGAGGTGAGAGCACCAACAGGTGGTGGAATCGGTGCAGAAGTAGTGTGAGTAGAATGCGAACGAGTTTTGGAACGAGTAACAACAGGTGAAACAACGATGGTGTTCCAGGATTCTGTACCTGGAGGCCAGCTAGAATCGGAAAGTGTAGTAGAAGATCGCGGAGGAAGAGGGGTAGCAGAAGGAGGTGAGGAAGAAGACGAGGAAGGTTCGTAGCGAGTGAGAAAGTCTGGACCTACATTATCGATACCTTTGCGATATTTGATAGAAAGAATCTGCGGTAGAAGATCCTGTAGTTTAAGCAACCAGTTGTCAATGCGTTTATTACGAAATGAATACTTCTTATGCATATTCGCTAGAGGTTGATGATCAGTTTCAATAGTGATAGATGAAGTACCAATACAAGAGCGGAGCTGATCTAAACACCAGCAGATAGCAAGGGCTTCACGTTCGGTAGTGGAATAGCGTTGCTCAGTAGCGGATAGTAAGCGAGACTTATAGTAACAGATCTTAAGACCGGAAGGAGTATCTTGCTTGAGAACGCCGGCTATACGCATAAGGCTAGCATCGGTAGAAAGTATAAAAGGTAGGGAAGGATCAGGAAAATGAAGAAAAAGAGGAGCAGACGTAAGAATTTGCTTAAACTGATCGAAAGCAAGTTGTTGTTCAGCATGCCAGTAGAATTCATGTCGTTTAGTACGAGTCTTATTAGTGACTTTGTGTAAAGGAGCGGCTATGCGAGCAAAATCAGGAATAAATTTACGATAGTAGCCGATCTTGCCAAGAAATCGATTCGCTTGTGAAAGGGTGCGTGGTGGTGGAATATCTAGAATAGCTTGAAGTTTGTCCGGTGACGGTTCAACCATAGAGGCGGAAACAAAATGTCCGAGAAACTCTATTTGACGTGCAGCTATAGTACATTTCGAGGGAGAAACTCTAAAATGCGCATTGTTGAGTATGGACAAGATCTCATCAACATGTTTAGCGTGTTCTTCCAGAGAATGAGAGAAAATGACGATATCATCGAGATAGACAACCACATAGTCCCAACGACCTGTGGCAAGTAGGTTATTCATCACACGTTGAAAACTAGCGGGGGCATTAGTTAGACCTTGTGCAAGAACGTTAAATTCATAGTGACCGTCAGGCGTGACAAAGGCAGTCTTCTCACGATCGCCAGGTGCGATGGGAATCTGAAAGTAACCACTCTTCAAGTCTAGTTTAGTGAAAAAACTGTGACCGGATAGACGATAGATTAACTCCTCAGCAGATGGTTGAGGATACGCATCTTTTTTAGTTATAGCATTTAGGCGTCGAAAGTCAACTAGAAAACGAAAGGAACCGTCAGGTTTCTTCTTCAAAATGACAGGTGAGGACCACGGAGAAGTAGAAGGGCGAATGATATTATCAAGGAGCATCTTGTCAACCTCATGTTGTAGTTCTTTACGCTGCTCAATAGTGCGATAGTAAGGACGAGCACTGACTGGTGGATGGTCGCCGGTGATGATAACGTGGGGTATAGTAGTATCAGCAATACTATGTGTGGAAAGGTCAAAGGCACGACGATGTTTTTGAAGAATAGGTTTAAAAGTCTGACGGGTTGCATCATCAGGAAGCGGATCTAATAATTCATCAATGACAGATTCTGTATCGGAAAGAGAAATAGCAGAAATTGAGGGAAAATGAGGAGAAGAAGAAAGAGGCGGTGAAGAGCAGAAGGAAGTAAGATTGATGGCAGCTGGAGAAGAAGAGAAGAAGGTAAAAGTACCAAGAACAACATTTTCACGTAAAAAACAAGAAGTAGTGGCAAGGTTAGAAACAAGAAGCGTAGTATGAAACTGATTTATACGTACAACAGCATCGGGAATAAGCAGGTGTTTGCGTTGACAGAAAGTAGGAGCAGGAGTAAATATGACCTGAAGAGCAGATGATAATGGAGCAGTTAGTTGCACAACATGTTCATGTAAAGGTTGGAGTTGAACAGGATGTGCAAGGCGAGCCGGAAGAGAAGCATTATGAAGAAACGAAACTGAAGTCGAACCATAGTGAGAATGACGAAGACAAAGTTTCTGGTGACGAATACGGATTTGCACATCATATGTGCGACACCAATCCATCCCAAGAATCAAATTAATACCCAAAGAATCAACCACATAAGCAGAAATGAACGTAGGAATATGGTTAACATATATACATAATTGAGCAACACCATGAACACAAAGCGCAGTGGAGGCATCTCCAAGCAAAGCAGAAACCGAAGTGGTTTTGGTGAATGGGACATCAGGAAGAGTATCAAGAAGGGAACGAGTAATTAAGGTATGAGTAGCACCAGTATCAATCATCGCACAAACTGATGAACCAGAAATATGAGTGGGAATAATGATTAATGATGGATTAGTAGAAAAAGAGGAGGATCGACCATCACGAGCCTCCCTCAGACGTTTGGGCGTGATGGACAATGTGGTGCAATATGACCAGGTTGATGACAAGTATAGCAAATAACAGGTTTGATCGGGCATTGTGTAGAAATATGACCGGGTTGATGACAAGAGTAGCAAATAATAGGCCGTCGAGGACGGGCTGACAAATCAGAATCAAAATTAGGAGAATAGAAGGTGGAATTTGCAGCAGGTGGTGGAAAAGCACTGGGTGAATATGAGGTTGATGCAGGATTAGTTGACATAAGTGGTGGTAGATATGAGGGTGTGAATGGAGGTGGCGATGGTAACGAATAGGGAGACCAGGTAGAAGAGTGATGAGGAGGAGAAAAAGACTTCTTTGAAGGACTAGTGGTAGTGGATTCTTTTTTACGAGCGTCAAGAACAGCATTATCAAGTTCGAGACGTTGAGCACGACGAAGTAGAGCGTGAGGTTGAACAACTTCTTCTCCTTGAATACGTTCATACAAGTTGAGACTCATACCAGCTTTGATCCAATCAAGAATTTGAAGATCAGTCATATCGGCATTGTGTTTACGGCAAAGATCAAGAATGGAAGTATAATAATCCGTAAAAGATTCAGTACTGCCTTGTTTACGATCTCGAAGTAGTTTTAAGTTCATATCACGAGAAGTGGTTTCGATATGAGGAAAAGCTTCAACAAGAGCAATCGAATATGCGTCCCAGTCGTCGAGCTGATCACGATTAGCTAGGTGCCACCGAAGAGCATCACCATGTAGATATTGTGGAATGAAACGACGTTTTTGGAGAGCAGCGTAACCAATCATATCAAATTTCAAATTGACAAGTTCGAGCCATTCAGTAACATTTTCACGAGGAGAGCCAGAAAAAATAGGGACAGTCTCAATAATCTTGGAGTATTGTTGGGTTTCCATGACGACAAGAGAAGAAGAGTGATTCAATGACGAAAGATTAGTATTGATTGCAGGAGATATAGACAGAGATTGAGAACGAGCAGCGAGACGTTGATCACGTTCGAGCGCTTGAGCAGCAGCACGCTGTTTAGCACGACGAAGTTCGGCAGCAAGCATAAGCTAAAGAAGAGAGCAGATCTGCTGTTCAGTGGTCAGCAGACCGGCCAGTGCACCATTGTGATGGCTGTCGATGCAGAAACAACGAGCCAGTGCGAGAGAGACCGTGACGTTTATTGATGTAGAACCAACGAGCAAGAGAGAGAGAGAGAGAGAGATCACACACCGGCATAAACACTCTTTTCCCTATATATACTGCATATATGACTCAAGAATCTCAAGTCATACGCAAATGACTCAATCATCATGAGCACATACACATGATTCATGGCAGAATGCCATGACAGTAATCAAAACGACACTTCGTGGTTAAATGCTCATTTTTACATTCGCCACGTATCGTTGGGTGTAGTTGTTCATCAGACATAATTTGAATTCCTTCGAAATTTTGACAAGGTTGATCTAGGATATAACAGATGTGCATAGATGGTGAGAGAAGCATTGATTTCAATCGAACGACGCTCTTCGCAGATTGTTCGGCGTTCAATATAAGGTTTCGAACGGTTTCCAGCATTGGATGAAGAAACTTTCTTAAAACAGGACCAGCATCACTAATGGTAAAGCAAAAGAAAACATTTGGATAAAAGTCACTACCAAAGAATTGGAGCATATGTAGTAGTGATGATCGTAGTGACGGATCTAATTTATTCATATTTGGTTTCAATAGGATGCATAATGCATTTAAGTGTGAAAAGTTCTGCAATAAATAATAAAAGATACGTTGGAGATTTTCATCCACTGGGAAGATGAAAGGAATAAGATTTACATTGCTGGGTGACAGATTCACCTTCATCGTTGCGTTTTTCGTTGGAATCTTCATGGCCTAACTCGATTAATTTCTCCTCAAATTGATCGCTGATTGTCATTAGAAATGAAACGGGAATGAAAACAAATGGTTCTCCTAATACCGCTAGATCGATCGTTTCAAACTGAAAATAGTTGGCAAGAGCATTGATAAATGTGGATTTTCCAATTCCCCATGCATCATATAGAAGAATGTTCATTGTGGAATAATCTTTTCGAGTGGATTTGGGAGTCGATACTGATTCTTTGGAAGCGATGATCATCGTGTTTGAAAGTTCATGAGTAGAGTATGAGAAATACGCATAAATAAGGTGTAAATCTGGGCGGAGCTGTCGTTGCTCAATGAAACGCGACAAATTGTCATTCCACTCATCAGTATTTTGTTTTTTCAGAAAATCACTGGAACAAAAGATACAAACATAATCATCGTTGTTATTGAATTTATCGATTAAAGTCGATGAATCAACATTTTCCATGTATTGATGACAATATTTGCTTTTGTTTTAATGTAACAATAAGATCCTGTTTCAGTTTGAAGTCATTCATATCTGTTTCTAAATCATCAAATTCTTTTCTCAATGATGTTTGCGTGTACCGGCCGAGTGATTGCTGAATTGTCGACTTGATTAAATAATGATGAATCATCGCAGTTCAGTTGAACGAATACAGCAAAGACAAGACCATATTTGACTTCAGTAACAATATGTGTGGTTCCCGGATTAGGATTCAGCTGTCCGAAGAGAGCTTTATTTGAAGAAGAACTGTCTGGTATGCAATGTTTCCGATTCTAATGAGAATAGTATATAAGGCGTGTCTTGGCATCGATTGGAAAAGGATAATTCACGATTAAGAGAAGTCCCTCGGGTTCAATCAGGTTTAAGATGAGACTTAAGCGAATGTTTTGCTCAATTTCAACTATTCGAAGTAAATTTTCACATTTCTAATGGTCGTAACATTTTCATTGACTGTTGAACGTTTTATATGTGGCGGATTTGAGAACAGTTGATCGTTTATAAGGCATTGTTCAATTTTACTGTGTGCGTCTGTTGATAATTTTTAGATGCAGCCAGTTATTCAACGTTCAATTGTAAATCTAAACAAATGAGTATGCAGTCTAATCATTGTCTGATGTTGAAAACTAACTTTAATCAAAAGATAGTCCCTTTTGTTTCCTAGACACACGTCAAGCTTTCGTGTTTTATATAGAAGAGCAGAAAAATGTAGTGTAGAGAAGAAGTGATAAGTGCACGTGAAATAAATAACAAACAAAACAACTTGCAACATGGCATGCATACACAAAAGCCATCTTTGTTTTTCTTGTTACTGTGCTTGACAATTAGTATTGCTCTAGTGTCAAGGTTGAAATTGAATACAACGTCACTACATCTAATGCGGTATACAGTACACAATGTGCGCCCAACAAATTATTTACAACTAATCAGATAAATGCTCTTCTATATCAAAGAATTCTTTATGAAATCAATTTGAAAATATTCGTATAAAAAAATCACGTCGTTGTTTGTCTTTAGTCTTCAGCATGTTCTTCTGGTGGCCGTTGATATTCAGGATTTGAAAGTAAATAAATAACAACCAAAGCGAATAAGCTTGTAAACACGCAGAAGAAATTCATGATCAAACGCCGCTGACGTTCAATGTCGTTGGGTGTAAAAAATGATGAACCCATTCCATATTCAGATAAACCTGTTAGCACAGCTATGACAGCGGACATAAAGATGACTTTACCCCCGAGTCGATGACTAGAGAATATCAACGGATAAGAACGAAGAGAAATTTGTTCGAAAATTTTACCTTGGCATGTACGTTTTTCGAATTTCTAAACTCATTTGTGGAAATAAGAAACAAACAAAACCACAAATCCATTGAAAAACAAAGAGAATCAATGTTGTGAGACCAAGCCATGAATGGTAGGTCATAAAGTGCGATCGTTTGCCAAGATTTTTACTTCGTATAATAGCAATAAAACCAAAAATACCAAGCACCAATGATAAAATTAGAAACAGAGCATGGCCGACTTTCACAAATAGTTTCGGTGTTGTTCGAAATGTTCGATATATAAGAATTGCATTGCCATAACAAAATACCAAACCAAGTGTCATCATTAATGGATGATAAGTAAATGGATTCTTTGGCCAATTATATGTATCTGTATAGATGCGACCATCAAATAATAATCCCACTAAGATCACGCTGAGTAAACCAAATATCTCAGCTAGAATTAAGAAAATTGGATACATTCCTTCCGTGATAATAGCCATTGTTGTTGATGATGTTGCTCTTTTTCTTCGTTTATGCAAATGGGAGTAAGGTAAAGTGTAGTCTTATTTATATATATACAAGGTAAGACGCAGAAAAAGACACTCGTAATCATGACCTTCGCATCAGTATGATAAAACACTTTCTCCTTTACTCTTTTGTTTTGTTTCATTGAATCCGATTGTAAATCTAAATGATGTGTTGAGGATTAATAAATCGTTTCGATAAAAACCGAGTGGTGCATGTATTATGTAAATCGTCTAATTTTCGTATTGAAAAAGACTCGATCCACATTCCTTTCGTTATTTATTGAAAAATGCAACGAAGGGCAAGATAGATCGACAAGAAGTTAAAGTTGCGCGTTCGTCGTTGAAATAAACAATAGATACTATTATCAACACGAAAGAATATGGTATAAGAAGAAAAAAAACTAAGTCGCTGTCGATCGAAACATTCGTTTGCAGTTCTGTATACAGAAAGAGAAACATTTACGTTGAAAAAAATCAATATTTCAAGGAAAAAGAATGAGTAGTTTTGCTTGCAAAATAATAAACGTCATTATTACTCATTCTATTCTAACAGTGGAAACGGAAAATACCAACTACACGTACTTCATATAAATCCTAAGACGATGCGTATTAGAATCATCAATATTCAAATAATAAACTGAAATGAGTCTTACGCGTGACGTCAAAAGCATCGACGATAATTCAAACCGAAGTTTTACTTTAGAACGACACAAACATGCGGAATTACACGTGCAAGATCAAGTACCACCGATTCGAACCAATTACGAACAGGTTACTTTAGTATGGCTCGATAGTCATGCTAGAAATAACGGGCCTTTTGCTGATGATATTCATTTGACTGAGGAGTTATTACGCAAATTAAATGATTATGTAATGCTATTCGATAATGAACTTGAATGTCTTACCTATGTCGATTCAGTTAAAAATGAAACTGTTCTGCTGATAGTTTCTGGCAGGTGTGCAACATCAAATTTGCTTGACGCACTACAGAAGTTATCCTATGTCGACTCCATTTTTATCTTTTGCCAAAATAAGAATAACTATGAACGATTAAAAGAAAAGTACAAGAAAGTCGTTGGTATTTTTACTGAACAGAGAAATCTTGGAGAAAGTATTCGAAATGCTATTGAACTTATCGACAGGCAGTCAACTATATTTGCTCTGTACAATGTGGATAAACAAAAATCCATGCGAGACCTTAGTCGGGAGTCTGGTTCGTTCATCTTTCTTCAACTGATCAAACAAGTTATCAAACGGATGGCAATGAACAACGGTTCAGCCGATGACAGCAAACAGGAGATGGTAGACAAGTGCCGCCTGTATTATCGAGGAAACGAAAAAGAACTAGAAAATATCAAGGAATTCGACAAGCATTATACACCTAATCAAGCGATCAAATGGTACACTCGAGATTCATTCGTCTATAAACTAATCAACAAAGCCTTACGCACTGAAGATATTGATTCATTATACACTTATCGGTTTTATATTGTGGATATCTGCGAATGTTTAACTGAAAATTGTCAAATATTGCGAGATGTAGCATCGGATGTAACAGTCTATCGAGGGATGAAGATGCGTCGAGCAGAAATAGAACGACTTCAGGAAAGTATTGGTCATCATATTGCTGTTAATGGCTTCTTTTCAACAAGCCGAGATAGATCTGTTGCTGAAATGTATGCAGGAATCAATGCTGCACAACCGGTCTCGTCCGTTGCAGAGGACACCGAATCAGTCGTGTTTGTTATTTATGCTGACTTAGAAGTTCATCCGGACCTGATTTTAGCTGATGTATGCTGTCTCAGTTCATTTCGAGACGAAGGTGAAGTTCTTTTCGATCTTGGCACAGTATTTAAAATCCTATCGTTCACGTACGACATTGACAAAAATTATCGGATTTGTCATATGGAGGCAAGTGATGAAGGCCGTACTATAGCTCAAGGATATCTTGATTTCAAACAGAAAGAATTGCATTCATCATCGGATATCGAAATTGTATTTGGAGATTTACTACATGTTATGGGTGAGTGGCTAAAATCTCGTGCGTATTTCGAAAATCTTGCCACTCGACGAATCAATGATCCACAAATTCATCTCGGTATCGCTCGAACTTATGAATCTCTTAATCAATCTGATCAAGCTTTGCAGCATTTGAGTCAGGCATATGACTTAGCTATGCAAGACAACCCCGAGCGACTGTCGCTGGCAGCAAAGATCTGTCACTACATTTGCCGAGTGCATTCGTTCTGCAACAATTTTAACGACGCTCCCCTGTTTAACAGAAAGGCGCTTGAACTCTATCGACAGGCTGGTGAACATGATAACCGAGAGGGTATTGCTCTAGCATTGATAGCTGCAGGTAATATACATTTTCTAAAATGTGAACATGATATAAGCTTAGAACATTATCAACGAGCCCTTGAGATTTATATGGAACTGTACCCCTTCGATCATCCGGATAAAGGTGTTGCTTTGAGTTCCCTCTCGTTGTCTTACTATCTGAGAGGTGAATATGAATGTGCACTCAAGCATATGCTTGAGTGTGTAGCAGTTCACGAGCGATTACTTCCTACAGACCATCCGCATTGTGCTGTAGGTCACACATCTGTTGGTAAATTATTGTACAAACAAGGAAAATACTCTGAAGCACTCGAACAATTCCATTATGCCATGGGCCTGTTCGACAAACGGAGAACGAATCATCATCGAAATTATGCTCTTCTACTGAACAATATAGGCAAAACTCTCTACCGACTCAATAAACTAGACGAAGCTTATGAACAGTACAATAAAGCCATGCAATTTATCGAGAAGTTATTTCTAACGAAGTCGACAGATCATGCCGATCTAGCATATACATGGAAAAACTTCGGCGAACTTCGTATGGCAAGATTTGATGCTACCGGTGCACTTAGTTTATTTGAACGTGCTCGAGATATGTATAAACGACTTTTCACAATTGCTGAAAATCATCGAGATATTGCTAAGTGCTGGCACCTCATCGGACAAGCGCACGTGGCATTGGAAAACGATACAGAAGCAATAGAATCATTCGAGGTAGCACTACAGATGTGGATAAAAACGCTACCCAAACATCATCCCGATATTGCACTTTGTCATCAATCTATGGGTGAATTTTATGCCAACAGAAAAGGAGACATCGACAAAGCTATTGATCATTATCATACAGCACTGTCTATCTACGAAATGCAACAAGATGATAGTTCCAAACATATAGAAACGATACGAAATAAACTAATTTCTTTGAAAAAAGCGCGGCATGAGTACATATAAATAATAAATATCGCTTATAGCCAGAGAAATCTACTTTGGAAAATTTCGTTCTAGTTCATCTTTACTCTGATATCTATGTAATGCCGTACAGTTTGGTCCGTTGTTGATTCCTGATTGCCTATTCGAATATAGAATGCCATCAAGATGGTCTGTTTCATGTTGCCACACACGAGCTTGCCAACCTGACAGCTGCTCATTCGTATGCTGAACTCCTTGGTCGTCAACGTAACTGACTTCAATATGCGTGTATCGCTCGACTATTCCGTATGCATGCGGAACGCTAAAGCAACCTTCATTAGAGAAATTTGTATATTCATCGGCCGGTGTTGATGGCGATCCGTCGGTTGTATTTTGAATCTGTCTCATTGGTTTGTAAGTTGGATTGAATACTACTTTCACAGTTCCATCACTACCATTTGGAGAGAATAGAAAGATCCGCTTTCTGATGTTCCATTGATTTGCTGCCATGCCCGCTGCTTTGTTATGCGGAGCATTTGCACTTTTTAATTGTTCTGGTCTAATCGAGTAAATCATGTTTGCAACGATTTGCTTTGTTTCGTCGCTATGAATATCTTCTAATGACATTTCCTCAATTGGATTGTGAAGTATAGGATCTGCTTCAGTTACAAGGCAGAGTAATTGAGGACTGATTTCTTTCGCACAGCTGCTGGATGACATTGATCGAATTCGACCTAAATATAAACCTCCTAAATTAAATTGGATTAGAAGCAGATTGATTCCAACCACTCAAAGTGGTGGAATAAAATCTTGACGATGAAAGATGGAAAACTGGCTAGTGGATGCTGAACTACGACTTTTTGAAACACGTGGATCCTCTATTTGTTCCTATGCGATAACGGAGACGTGCGTATCAAAACATGACAAAGTGAAACAAAACGCTTTCTTTCTTGGTCGCGATAAGATACATTCACTCGACGCTACATACACAAAATCGCCATATTGTATAGACGCACATAGCCCTATTCGAGAACAGAAAAGAATAGAGGGCGTTGATTTGAACATAGTGTAAAACAGACACTACAGATAGAAACATGGATTGATTTCGTTTCGATGTCTTTTACGAATGAATATGAAACCATTTTCTCGTGGATATCTACTGAAAACTTAGTCAGTTCAAAAATAATTTGCAATAAATATGCATTCATCTGCTTATAAAATGTTTTGATGAGGAAATAAAAGTATTAGCAATAGAGATACTTAATTCTTTGACAACTGGAATGTTTATCAAGTGAATCGATACCTAGCAAAACTTGTTGTGAAGCATCTGTCAGATTCTTAGTTTGTTATCAATACATAAATATGAGAAAATCAGAAACAGTGTGGTTTATCTTTATATTTCACATCTAATGTACATCATTTTTTTGTTTCCAAAATAGCTCTGCAGAAATTTAAAGTAGCATCACTTCATTACTAACATTAAGAATGCACGAAGCATCGTACATAACGAACGATTTGTCATGATTATAGCTTTTTAATCACCATCGTTCATAAACACTATGACTCTGTCATTATGAATAGTACGAAATATTGATGAATATATAAGTGAAATCTTTTGAGTGAACGCAACAATTCAAAATCCGTTTTTGAAAAACGTTTCAGTTCATTTGTTTAACTCTTTGAAATATCTCGATATCTGGAAAATAAATATTATTTCATAGTATTCTCTTATCAATAATAGCTCAGACGCGTGTAACATCTATTCAATATGGAAAAAGCTTCATTTCTTTTTCTCGGTATGCAACTATGTTGTTGCCCATAAATTTTCCTCAACTAGAGAGAGAGAGTGTGACGATAAGAACAAATAATTTGATGTATCATTCATATGAAAAGTCGCCAAAACGCATTTTTCTCTTTCATATAATCTTATTATCATTTTGGCCATGTATAAACTAAACTATACTATTCTCAGTTTTCGTCTTTGATCATAGATCAGATTATACGACTTAGTGAGAATTTTCTTTTCATTTCGCTTCTCCTCAGTTCAAAAACAGTGATATATAACACGTGTCTCTCTCTCTCATCGCAGAAGTACAGAAAAGTGTTTCGATCGCCATGTGACTTAGATGTCTCTTAGTCACTTAATCTTGATACTAAATGTGATCAGAAATAAATAAAAGTATCGATGCATTGAATCTCAGAAGCTAAGTGTAGACAATAAAAAATAAAGTTATTTTTCTATTTTATCTTAACACAAATTTATATGTATTGAACTGTTACAAAACCTTTTTCTAAGTCAGTAATACATACAAAAGCTTCTCTTATGAGAATTTTCTGAAAACACTGGAAATGATATCAAGAGTGATTGAAGTTTCTTGAGACATAATTCATAAAGAATTTCCGAGAGACAGATGATTTTCTTCAAAAAATTCTGTCAGACACCCACATCACCGAGTTAGTTAGTAATGAAAAGCAGATTTAGCCCCGTAAAAATCTGATTTTATTTTATGGACACTTTGCATTAATTGTCAAACAATTAAATGATTTTTTTGTAAACTTCTCTATTACATGTGTTCTCAAAATCATTTATAAGGTCATGATCTATCAGGAAGTTGATCAGGTTATTCTGACTAAAGGAAAACTTTTCCGAATCTTTTGCACAGTTTTTGATAAATAGAGCAATGATAAAGGTATCTGAAAGATATTTACATAAAAGAATTATCTGATTACTGAACTATATATTGTACAAAACGAAAATAAACGCATTAATTATTTTTCTCTGAATACAAATTCATATTTGCCTGTCAGGTTTGGTCCGACGTGAGCAGCAAAACAGAAAAAGGTATAGTATGGAATGAATTCTGATTGGTTTAAAACGCAAGGATAAGCTACATACTGTTTTGTATGGAGGGTGTGAATGTAACTTATTTCGACCTTCTTTCTTAATCTAAATTCGTTGAGATTGGTTGCTCCTTTTGAACTGCATCTACAGCATGATCTATAACTCTCTTGAGGATATATTAGACTTAGTTTTACCTGTCAATATTGTTGGGTAGAAAGATTAAGAACAAGTCGAGATCGACGTTGACGCAGTTGGATGAACGCGACAACGAATCATATCAGTAGAATAATGATTTGTACATGTGTGCCGAGAGGTTAGCGCTCGCTTGAGTTGTTGCCAATACATTACATTTCTTCGATGCAAAACATAATCACACATTGTTTTCGATCTTAAAAAGATGACAACCTGCACGGAAAATGATTAATACTTTCTTTTTACTTCACATACTTTGTTAGTAATGAAAATATATTAAAATTTAGTAACGCGCGAACATGATTAGAAATATAGTCTTTACTGGTTACGTATAACAAACAAATACTGAAGGTGAAGAGGAGGAAAACACGTTTGATTCAAGAATGAAAAGGTTACCAGTAACCACTGAATAGCGACAGACGATTTTAACATTGTGTGATTTCGTTCTCCACTAATCTCTGTTAATCACATTTTTGAAAACGGATGTTTATCGCTTTATTTCATGTTAAGCTGAGGCAAACAGATGGCCGTTCTTCGCATGGTCACATGTTCATCGTCTAAAAGGAGTTTCATCTGGAATCCTACAAAGGGCGTTTTAGCGAAATTAGTTAGAGTTTCTAAACCTTCTCTTTTGTTAATTAAAGCAATCACTAATTGAATTTTTCCAAAGCTAAATCCTTATCGCACTCGCATTTGCAAATGTACGGGATCCAATAGGATCTTGTTCTTTTTCTTGTGTTGATTTTCATTTACCGAGTAAGTAACAAGCAAAGGAAATGATTCACTGCCGGTTATTTCCTATCATTATTGCTTGATAGAGGATTACATCTGGAGTATACCGACATTTGATCGTTATCATGGCGAGGAGAAACTGGAATTGCTCTATTCAAAGGAATATATATTAAAAAACGAACACATAATTACGAAATAATTCAACAATGTACACGATCGTTACATCTATCGAGTTTTCGATCGTCTGAGCCGTTTTACACTTTTTCTTTCTCGATACAAAACGTCTTTTGACGTTTGAATCGAATTTTGAATACCTACTACCAATCTCAAGTAAACATCATTCGAATAAAAGAACTAAGAGAGAAAGAACAAAAAAAAAACTGCTTGTTAGGCGTTTTCAGTTCTCATATTCCGTGTTTGTCGATTCATGTTGCACAATTCTTTCTTATAGACATTTAACAAACCAGACTCAATAGGTTTGAATTGTGAGATCAAAGTATACAGAGTGTGGTTATCACACTACGAGAAAACAGTGCACAGAATGTATTCACTTTCTGCTTGGTCAATACATATAAATGCATGTTCTCATACAGACACCTAATATACTACATTTAAAAGCTCATGACATTAGAGATTGTAGAATATTAGAACTAGCTCGTGTGATACGAACAGGCATGATAATGCCCATTCCTTTTCATTCGTCTATCACATCAGCACGTGCTTTCTCATATCCGGACACTAACCAAGTTGCATCTCACGAATGTGCCCCGAACGAATAGGCTAGCATTTGTTCTTCTCTTGGATATCAAAAGTATTCTTGTTTAAACATTTATTTAGACGATTACTACATTAAATATCGGGCGAAATAACGTCGGTTGCACAGGTACACACCAACTGATCACGACGATTCAAACAAATACGGTAGTGTTCATTTTCTTTTCACGTAGTTCATACCGACAAACATCTTCACTATCATAGACACTTAGATCCTAATATCTCGAAGATTGCCATATCGATGGTCGACAAGCACAGCATCTGGCTAAGGCACTACGAACAAACACAGTAACACATATTCACTCTTGACCTATGCAACACGTTGCCGTGCACATAAATCGTGTAGACGCTTAGTGAGTTATATCTCGGACACAATGAAATCAGTAATGCAGCAGTACAGGATTTGGCTTATGTACCACAAACTAACAAGGTAACATGCATTATCCTTCAGACGTACTCATACGCAGCTTCTTATATAGATATTAGTTAAACCCTATTTAGAATGCAGTTTAATCCAAGGCATAAGTGTTTTTCATATGGCGAAAGCACAAGGTATCGCATATGTGTTTCTCCTGTTCCTTATCCATTTGTTTGCATCTTGTTTTTGTAGACACTCACTACATTCAAACTCCAGGTAGGTATAATTAACCTTAGAGGAAAACGAACTTAATCGAAGAATTGGGAGGTATAGAGGTAAAAATCATACAATTTTACACAACTTCCTTTTTTTATCAGCTTTTTCTTTGTATAGATTAACAAAGTCATTGCAGTAACTTTACATATGATTCTATTGAAAATCAAGGAAATGCACTATTTTTGACTCACTGATAGCAAAATGTACTTATTTTCTCCTAAAGGTTCTCGATACCTTTTGTTTCACGACCGAAATTGAAATGACTCCGTGGACCAAAAAAGAGTTAAGGAAATTCATCATAGTTTTCAAGAACTTCAACCATCTCATTTGCACCATGTCGCTGAATTCGTCTTTCAAAAAATGAAAATATAACAATAAAATTAATTGTTCACGGTGGAAGAATCATTAAATCATATTGAACTTGTAATCGTTTTTCTGATTCAACAATATCAGACGGTCAAAATCGAGATGTATCTCATAAAAACGTACCACATCATTCTTCTTTTTGTAGAAACAAGCAGCGAAGACGCAACATTACTCAATATCATCATAACTCAAATATATTCGTCAGTCAGAACTCTTATGAAAATATGCATAAAATTTTATCGAATAATTCATCCAACTTTTTTATATATTCTTTTATTTTTCGATCCCTATGGATCACATTATGAAGTCTTTATGCACTTTCAAATCCTATTTTATGACTTTGATCGTTCGCACACAACGCATTTTGTGTGAGTACACTTGCATTATTTATTACTGTTGATATTTGCCAAATCTGAAAAAGATTGAATTCAATTGCGTGTCTCGTAAATGCAGTTTTGAATGATAAATCCGCGGCAGACCTGCACTGTAAATTAATAGACGATGCATGATAATGCATACAACAAGACTTTTTTCTTTCGAATTTAGTTATTACGAAATGTTTTCTCTAAAATGTTTTTTATTTACACGCTCCTCTCTTCTTCTACACGTGTCAACGACAGACGCACTTCCAGTGCTTAATAATATATTTGATATTCGATATCAAAACTTTCAAAGCCATGTGAAGATTTAGTTCTCCTTCCCAAGCGATTCGTCCATATGCACGATGAACAGCAACATATTCGATACAACAAAATATAAAAGATGAAAAAGAAGTATTCTGTGGCATGACGTTTTACCATAAAAGCTCAACAAAAACGAGACCTACGTATATCGATCGCTATTTACATATTAATACTTTAAAAGTAATGTTGACACTGTTTTATCCATTCAGATCGCACATCCTTCGGATTTGAAGTTTTATACTAACGGGCAAAATTCGTACGTTCATCGAGGAAGAGCTATCTAAGAATATCATCCATAAAAAGTATAACCTATTTATTCAAAGAAAAAAACGACATATAGAAATGAAATAGCATCATTACAAAAATCAACACATAACACAATATAAACAGTAAAGCATGAAAGCACAAAGACAAAAAATAGATCATTTACAGGCACCTACATATAAGATACAACAAGAAACACATACGAAAAGACATAATGAGCAATTCAACTAACGAACACTGAGCGTCTGTCTAGGTGTGAGGATGCGTACCAAAACGATCGCTGTTTTAATCAGGTCTCATTTGGAATACCTCTAACTATCGACACTATAATTAGCTACATGTACAACATTTTGACTTTCGATCTCTTTCATACAGACGAGTATCATCACTACGATATCCCTGCCATGGTCTATTCCAATCTATGTCAACCTTCAAATCAAGCTGACCGATCGCTCGGCACGCACCCTTTCGCAGTTCATCCACTAAACTCTCACGACCCGGCGGAATAGATACTTTTCTCACGCCTTCCCTATCATAAATACACAAGCAACTGCCATGAATAGCGACCGCAGTTTCAGTGATAAAACATGCATAGATAGCACCACGCAAAAACATCTGCTCCCCTCCCTCGATACACACTTTGACCAGTCGGACCGGTGACATCAATCCCCGCTCAACACATTCCATAGCGATTATTCCCGCCTCACCAAACTTGACTTCTGGATCCCAAAACACACCTAACGCAGACATTGCAATCACATAACATCTTACTCGACCCTCCGACATCGATCCATAATCAGCCAATGACTCATGCATTTTACTCCACTCACATTCCAAAGCATAGTCCAAACCAATGATCACTTCCTTCGTGGCTGCTTTTTCACCCATACGACCAAGTGCGTCACATGCATCCCTTCTCAGATAATTATCGTCGCTCCTCAGTGCTACGAGAAGTCCGTCGATCACTTCCTTCGTGGCTGCTTTTTCACCGATACAACCAAGTGCGTCACATGCATCACTTCTCAGATAATTATCGTCGCTCCTGAGTGCCTCGACAAGTCCATCGATCACTTCCTTCGTGGCTACTTTTTCACCCATACGACCAAGTGCGTCACATGCATGACTTCTCAGATCATTATCGACGCTCCTCAGTTCCACGAGAAGTCCGTCGATCACTTCCTTCGTGGCTGCTTTTTCACTGATATCACCAAGTGCATCACATGCATTACTTCGCAGATCATTATCGTNTAGATTAACAAAGTCATTGCAGTAACTTTACATATGATTCTATTGAAAATCAAGGAAATGCACTATTTTTGACTCACTGATAGCAAAATGTACTTATTTTCTCCTAAAGGTTCTCGATACCTTTTGTTTCACAACCGAAATTGAAATGATTCCGTGGAACAAAAAAGGGTTAAGGAAATTCATCATAGTTTTCAAGAACTTCAACCATCTCATTTGCACCATGTCGCTGAATTGGTCTTTGAAAAAATGAAAATATAACAATAAAATTAATTGTTCACGGTGGAAGAATCATTAAATCATATTGAACATGTAATCGTTTTTCTGATTCAACAATACCAGACGGTCAAAATCGAGGTGTACCGCGTAAAAACGTACCACATCATTCTTCTTTTTGTAGAAACAAGCAGCGAAGACGCAACATTACTCAATGTCATCATAACTGAAATATATTCGTCAATCAGAATTCTTATCAAAATATGCATAAAATTTTATCGAACAGTTCGTCCAACTTTTTTTTTAGATATTCTTTTATTTTTCGATCCCTATGGATCACATTATGAAGTCTTTATGCACTTTCAAATCCTATTTTATGACTTTGATCGTTCGCACACAACGCCTTTGGTGTGAGTACACTTGCATTATTTATTACTGTTGAGATTTGTCAAATCTGAAAAGATTGAATTCAATTGCGTGTCTCGTAAATGCAGTTTTGAATGATAAACCCGGTAGACCTGCACTATAAATTAATAGACGATGCACGATAATGCATACAACAAAACTTTTTCATTTCGAATTTAGTTATTACGAAATCTTTTCTCTAAGTTGTTTTATTTATACGCTCCTCTCTTCTTCTACACCTGTCAACGATAGACGCATTCCCAGTGTTTATTAATACATATGATATTCAATATCAAAACTATCAAAGCCACGTGAAGATTTAGTTCTCATTTTCAAGCGATTCGTCCATACGCATTATAAACAGCAACATATTCGATACAACAAAACATAAAAGATGAAAAAGAAGTATTCTGTGGCAGAACGTTTTAGCATAAAAACTCAACAGAAACCAGACCTACGTATATCGATCAATATTTACATATTCATACGTTAAAAAGTAATGTTGACACTGTTTTATCTATTCAGATCACACATCCTTCGGATTTGAAGTTTTATGCTAACGGGCAAAATTCGTACGTTCATCGAGGAAGAGCTATTTAAGAATATAATGCATAAAAATTATAACCTATTTATTCAAAGAAAAAAAGACATATAGAAATCAAAGAGCATCATTACAAAAACCAACACATAACACAACATAAAAAGTAAGTTCTAAAAATGCAAAGAAAAAAAAAATTCGTTTACAGACACCTACATATGAGATACAACAAGACATAGTGAGCAATTCTACTGACGAACACTGAGCGTCTGTGCAGATGTGAGGATGCGTACCAAAACGATCGCTGTTTTAATCAGGTCTCATTTTGAATAATTTTAACTATCAACACTATTATTTGCTACATTTACGACATTTTTATTTTCGACCTCTTTCATACAGACGAGTATTATCACTACGCTATCCCTGTCACGCTCTATTCCAATCTATGTGAACTTTCAAATCAAGCTGGCCGATCGCTCGACACGCACCCTTTCGAAGTTCATCCACTAAACTCTCACTACCCGGTGGAATAGATATTTTTCTCACTCCTTCTCTATCATAAATACACAAACAATTGCCATGAATAGCAACCGCAGTTTCAGTGATCACACACGCATAGAGAGCACCACGCAAAAACATCTGCTCCCCTTTCTCGATACAAACTTTGACAAGCCTAACTGGTGATATCAATTCCCGCTGAACACATTTCATAGCGATCTCTCCCGCGTCTCCAGTTTGGAACTCTGGATCCCAAAACACTCCTAACGCAGACATTAGAATGAGATAATCTCTTACACCCTCATACATCCTAAATGCATAAGAAGTCAATGACTCCTGCTTTTTACTCCACTCACCTTCCAACGCACAGTCCAAACTAATGATCACCTCCTTCGCGGCTATTTTCTCACCAATATGAACAAGTGCGTGACGTGCAAATCTTCTCGCCCGACCATCGTCGCTCTTAAGTGCATCGAGAAGTCCATCGATCACTTCCTTCGTGGCTCCTTTTTCACCCATACCAACAAGTGCGTAACATGCTCTTTCTCTCACGGAATCATTGACGCTCCTGAGCGCCTCGAGAAGTCCATTGATAACATCGTTTGTGGCTCCTTTTTCACCCATACAACCAAGTGCGTCACATGCTCTTTCTCTCACGGAATCATCGTCACCCCTGAGTGCCTCGAGAAGTCCATCGATCACGTCCTTCGTGGCTCCTTTTTCACCCATACAACCAAGTGCGTCACATGCTCTTTTTCTCACGGAATCATTGTCGCTCCTGAGTGCCTCGAGAAGTCCATCGATAACATCGTTTGTGGCTGCTTTTTCACCCATACGACCAAGTGCGCCACATGCTCTTTCTCTCACGGAATCATCGTCGCTCCTGAATGCCTCGAGAAGTCCATCGATCACGTCCTTCGTGGCTCCTTTTTCGCCCATACGATCAAGTGCGTCACATGCTCCACTTTTCATCCGAGTATTGTCGCTCCTTAGTGCCTCGAGAAGTCCATCGATCACGTCCTTCGTGGCTCCTTTTTCACCCATACGAACAAGTGCGTCACATGCCCACCTTCTCACGTGATTATTGTCGCTCCTTAGTGCCTCGAGAAGTCCATCGATCACTTCCTTCGTGGCTGCTTTTTCACCCATACGAACAAGTGCGTAACATGCTCTTTCTCTCACGGAATCATCGTCGCTCCTGAATGCCTCGAGAAGTCGATCGATCACGTCCTTCGTGGCTGCTTTTTCACCCATACGACCAAGTGCGCCACATGCTTTTCCTCTCACGGAATCATCGTCGCTCCTGAATGCCTCGAGAAGTCCATCGATCACGTCCTTCGTGGCTCCTTTTTCACCCATACGACCAAGTGCGTCACATGCTGCACTCTTCATCGAAGTATTGTCGCTCCTTAGTGCCTCGAGAAGTCCATCGATCACTTCCTTCGTGGCTCCTTTTTGACCCATACGAACAAGGGCGTTACATGCTCGTCTTCTCACTAATACATCGTTGCTGCGAAGTGCCTCGCGTAATGCTTGTAGTAGCGGTGGGATGGGTTTGGTAAGTGGAATATTTGATATAAATGACAATATCATGTCTCGATTGGTGAGTAGTTGATTGTTTAATAGTCGGATTATTGTCTGTTGTACTAGTGGTTCATTGCAAATTGTATTAGATGTACGAAGTGTCTGTTGGAACAGTTCGGATAAATGGCGCGATCCACTGCTTAAAGCGTATTCGAGCCATTGTGTGATCTTCTCGAGCAATTGTTTGGACTCAGTGAACGCTTGAGGTAGCCCTGTTTCATCTAGGCATTGAATTACAAGCGCCATGTGTCGCGCGCCGAACATGTCTAAAGGTTCATTAAGTAGTGCGTCCCAAAATGGTCGATTGCATTTAGGTTCTTGGTCATCGTTCAACAAACCGGATAAAAATGTAAAGACTAATTGGTATATCCTGTTATATTTGTGTTCACGGATGAATTTCATTGCTTGGTCGCGCGTATTATTGTTAAGCGCATTGGCTAAGTAACGAGCAGCAAAGTGTTCTTGCAAACTGAGATGAACGAAGTAATAGTGCTTGTCTGCTTCGATTCGTGTTCCAATACCAGCTGAATTTGAGTCGTATGACTTTAGTAACCCAACATTGAATAAGTCCGGACAGTCTTTTAACTTGCATCCGCTCTCTTTTTGGGCCTCTTTTAGTAA